ACAAAAAATGCTTATAGCTTCAATTCCCAGAGATATGTTGAAAAAAAAACTCGAGTCCCGAGTTAGCACGTTTTACAATAAATAAAGAACGGAGAAAGAATGACATCACATTGTACAACGTATCGTTCAGGACATCGCGTCGCCGCGCCGTCGACGCGAGATCGGAGAGACGACGGGGAGCGAATACGTTGTTGACCTATATTTCTAAAAATCTCAGCTTTAAAATAGTTTCGTCGGCGAAGCATCTCGCTAAACGTTTTGAGATGCCGACAGTTGCCGTTACCTTACGTTGCTTCACGCTGCTTTGGGGCGAACCGCATGCGGCGGAAACCGCATGCATGCGGCCAATTGCGCAACACACTCAGCATCAAGCGCGATCTTCGCTCTTTATGACTTACAAAAAAAGATGCGCTATCTCGGTGTAAAGTTTGTATGTTAAATGTCAATCGAGAAAAATTACAGCGTTATAAGTAAATTAATTTTTCATTCATCGAACATTTTTCCGATATGTCATTTTTAAAAACACAATTACTTTTTAATTGTCTCAAAATAAAAATCTACAGTACAATATTAATTTTAGAATTACGATAGAGATAATTTCTGTATCTTTTTCTTTTACTTTGCATTAGATTTAAATCACACATTTAATTTTAGGAGATTAATGTAGCGCACGGATAGTACGTTAATTGTATTATTTTATCACCAGATTTTATTTTATAATGCCTCAATAAAAATAAATGATTTAAATGTGTGATTTAAATCTAGTGCAAAAATAAAAGAAAAAGAAGATACAGCAATATATAATTAGTGTAAAAGTAAGCAGTTATATTTGCGATCATTATTATGATAAGAATTTACGTCACGCTTGTGTACATGACAGTTGATGGTTCGATAAATGGTGGAACATATTAGTGAAGCCAAAGTTAGAATGTGGCTAATGTGTTATTTGTGGCGAAAGTACATCCTATTGGTAAAGCTATTTTTTTCTAAGATTTCACAACATACAAATAATAATTAAATCCAATTTGTCCAGTTAGTTTAACAAATCTCCATATTAAATATTTTTTAAATCTTTCTGCACTGTTAAAAAATAAAAAAAAAATAAATTATATTTTGACATTTAATATTTTAGCGCACCTAAAATGCTATAATACAAAAAATAAGATACAAAATTTTTAAACATGTTTTAAAAAAATTTTCATATAAAATTTGATTTTCTAATGAATCGCAACAAATATGGCAAACAATATTTTATACAGAAAGACATTTTCTGATCTCCGGTCGAGAAAGCTTCAAGCAGTGGCCGAGCAACACGTGTTGACATAACAATTCGAGAAGTGTGTAAACGTTATCCGTGCGCTACATCGAATAAGGGCCTGCCTTTTCGCCGAGTATATTTTCATAGACATTCTCTCGTTGTCGCAATGCATTCGTCCCGCAGGATTTCCTACTTTCGTATGTGCCCGTAGGATCACGTTGTTTGCTCGGAACCCCATGGGGTAAATCGCAAATTCTTTGTTGTCATTCGTATTTCCTCTCCAACTTTTTATCGATGACGAATCTCCTTACGTGAATACGAATACCGAAAGAGAAATGCTGATTACGAGTCTTATGAATCTCCGCTGACGCTGCCACAAGATTTAAAAGTATCTGTCCGCATTTATGAATCGATTACAAGCGGGAAATATTAGCTCGGATCACAGCATGTGATATAATTATAAATAAAATTATGTATTTAAAATCAGATCTTGATTTATCTATATCGGAATTAATTTACACGCGCAATAAATATCCGATCTTACTTAAAAGGATAAAAAAAGAATAAAATACCCTGTGCAAGAAACCGTTTGAATTAAGTAACCTTATGATTTTTAATTTCTAGTCGCTACATAAAGTTGCCTTTCAAAACTCGTGTCGTAAACAGGAAAATATATTTATCGCAATTAAAGATGTAATTAAAGGGAATAATTAAAACATATTAACATAGAATACTTGTTCAATATAAAGCATATAATCGTGGGAATTTAGAGCATTCTTATTAATTAATATAATTAAAGGTAAAAATAGATTTGAAGAATATGTCGGAAGTATCGCAAGGCAAGAATAACGAAATCTGAGAAGGTGTGAGACAATTAACTGCAACGTTATTCGTGTTCTGGCGAAGTCGTTCTGCTCGACTGTGCGAAACTTTCACAACTATCTTCCTTTTTTTTTTCACTTTACAATGCACGCCACGAGAATAAATTCATGCAAATTTATTCGCGTAAAGACAAGTTAAAGAAGCAGTTCAAAATAAATTTAAAATAAAATGTCGATGTACATTAACTTTGCGACAAAGTGAGCGTTTTACGAAGTGCTTCAAAAGCAGATAAATTTTAATACTATTAAGTTAGTTAAAATACAATCAAAAATATTTCACAATATACATTTCATTTTCATATAATAATTAATATTAAAATAGATAGATTAATATTAATATTAATAATTAATATTAAAATAGATAGATTCGCGTAATCTCAAATACCGAGTGCAGAAATACTTATTTGCAATGCAATGTTAAATTTAAATTTATCATCTATGTTTAAAATAATCTAATTGCCTAATTTCGATAATATAAAAGTTTTTATACACCATTTAGAATAACATTCTTAGATGTCGCAAATTGTCATTTATCAAGTCGCGCAAGAAATAGCGTGAACAAAGCCGTACAGACAAGCGCTCGTTACACCTTCTAGAAACCTAAAAACCGG